CTTCTAAAAAAATATAATTTTCCGTTTCTTTTTAGATATGAACAAATGTCTCTTTTCATCTCTGATAAATAGCCCTTTTACTTTGACAGGTGCCCTTGTTTATTTTTATTAATCTGATAGGTGCCCGTTTTTCCTTTCTACTTTAAAGTGCCCCTTCCATTCGCAATTCTTAGAAATGCCCAATGTCACCTCCTTTAAGTGCCCCTTTCAAAGTTGAATTTGAAGAAAAAACGTTGACCTGTTTGGCTCATCCTAATCCCATCGGAGCAGCTTTGTGAAGTAACAGGAACCTTTTCAACCACCATAATGAAAGGCGCAATGCCCCATATCTGATTAGAACGATTTGTGTCCCTACTAGAAATATAATCTTTCTCGTTCTTAAAGCTATCAAGTATCCCTTCTCTCGATATTACAGAAGTGGGCCCATTTTACACTTTAACTTATGTCCCTTTAAACTACCACGTATATTCTACTCAACTGCTAAAAGAGGCATTTTCCAACCTTCTTCAAATATTCTACTAAACCCTGTGCCACTTCGAACTCCATAGAATGTCAATTTTAATAATCAACTGCCCTATATTCAAAAGTATTACAGTGTAGACAATGCAGGAGTTTTCAAACTAAAGGAGAATTCATTTACTTTATCAAATGTCATTCATGTTTAAAGATAAAGTTGAATTCTGATCATGCGATTGCATTGTGAAAGAAACGGTGTGGAATCGATCAGAAAAGGTTGATCATCTACATTTGTTTTGCATGGTCCCACTTATGTTAATTGGTATGTGGTGTCAACTCAGTTCCCACAAGGAATTTTGCCGCTACATATTGTTTTGGTTGGACGTTGGGGAGCTGGAAAATAAGGGAATTCTTCTAGAATAATCGTATACAAAACTTCTCGTTGGCCTATATTCGAGATCCGTTTGCACCCATCAAGAGCTGAATTCGTTGACTATATCTAGCACGACATCAGAGTGTATGTCGTATGTGATGACACTTTATATGAACACACAACCCGATCCCTTATACTGGACTGTCCATGTCATAGCCCCTGGCCCCTAAACAGGTACAACACAGATGGCGGACAATTACCCCCTCACCTTAACTATACCCCGAGGTCAATTATCCTCGGGTGATCGGGGGTTCGTCCTCGTGCTGATTATCCTTGATTGTCCTGTTGGGAGGGGGGGGGGGGTAATGTTCCTGGGGTGGTTGGCGGTTGAAATTGAACAACACACATACACACACACACACACACACACACACACACACACTCGCTTATTTTAAAACGTACATATACATAATAATAGTCTTGTCAAGGATGGCAAAGTGCTTTAATATCAGAATGTGACTGCTCAACGAATTCCTCAACATTTGTTTCTCCTTTTGCAGCGCGTCCGTGCTGGTATGTTGAAAATTCATCATACAGCTTGACAAAACAAAAAATAAATTCACACGAACAGATACAAAAGGAATTTAATGCATTCCACATACAACCAGAGATTCACGTGAGCAAAGTCAGGATTCGTATCAGAGAAATAAAACTTGTGCATCTGCTTTAATACTCAAAGTTATACTGAACAAAAGTGTTTTTTTTAGGAAAATATTAATAAAAATTGTTCTCCTCAAAAGGCTCATATATTATGTCGCCGCAGTATGCGGTAGTTTATATCTTTTAATGGAAGAATGGGGAATAAACAGCGTGCCATGACAAACGCATGGATATATCCTTGGTAAAATCAACTTAACTATATACACAGCTGGTGCAAGAGTAATTTTCACTCTTGGTTTACCAAGTCTTGGTGGCCAACCGCTTATACCAAAATGGTCAAACTAACAGCCGCAATTGCTGATATTTAATGTTAAACTATTTTTAAACGAATCTCCCAAGTTATTATCAAACATAATTATTCTTTGCTTATTTTCTTTTTAGTTTGTAATGCATGTTTGTATTATTGTCCACAGTTACAAAGTGTCAAGTAAATGGATCCCCAACAATCAGGATGGAGTGTGAACCAGGATCGACGATCAGGATCACCAAAGGAGTTTGTGTGTTGGTTCCTTCTTGCGGTGCTTATGACCCCTACATAGAGAGCCAGTGTGAAGACAGTGACGAGACGGCACTGTGGGCTCCGTATTGCGAGACTCGCAATCCATGTACCATCACTGCTTCATGCTCGTGGGGTTCAACGTGCCCAGGGGAGTACACCTACATCTACGCTGATTATGAATGTAAGTAGGTAAATAAGATGGTCAAAGCCATTGAAGACGGTTATTGCATCATGTCTTGGAGATATTTGTAATAAAGACAGTAACCAAACAGACAAAACAACAACAAATCGTTTGAGAGGGTATGGTATATAGTGTCTAAACGAGACGTTAATGGAAATATATATTTGTGTAGCAATTTTAGAATGGCATATCATTCTATCAAAATAATTTGTTTAAGAAAAATGTAATGATAATGCTCTGGAAAACGTCCTGCAAATGCAGCTGTAGTTGACTGTATCTGCTTTGATGTTTTATGAATGGCACAAAAAGATGGTTGGTTTTTTAACTTGAGTAGAGACTACATTTATTACCAAAGGGGTTATTATTTGAAGAAAAAGATAGACAAAATAAGCCAGATATACTTTCCTAAGAAAATTTATAGCTCTTAACTATTTTGCATCACAACACAATCACGTCTGTTGGATTAATCCTGTGCTGAAATATACATTTTTTGTTCTTCCCTTTCCGTGACATAATATTATCTCTCCCAATTCTATGACACTCTGACCACAATGTTCCTATGGTACTGGGTGATGAAATGATTAGTTGCCAACTAGTGATGTAGAGATAGTTTCTATATCTCTAATTACTTTAATTCTAAATTTGGGAAGAAATTGAGAAATAGAGAAAGGTGTAGCCAGGGTACAGAAACTGTTAATTGTAATTTTTATTCCATTCATAGGTATTCCAGATACGACAACTATAGCAACAATCGTGAGTTATCAATCTCCATATCTTTATATCATTCTCATTCGTATAGTGTTTCGATGTTATGCAGTGCATAATGCACATATGAAATAATCATGACTACCAAGAAAAATTACATTTCATAACGTATCAAATTAAACAAGAAAGTAAATTAAAACAATAAAAAATGGTCACCGATAGATGCAGTACATAACATCCTCCAACCGTGAATAATTCGTAAAAACCAACTACGTAATTTTAATGATTTTCATGAATGCTATTAGGATATAAATGACCTCAATGGACTATAGAAACTTGGTTTAGTAAATGAAATATCTGTAATATTCGTTTCTCTTGAATTTCAGGGACCTACAAGTCAAACTCCAATGTCAGGTATTACATAATTATCTTCTTATACGTGTAAGTAAAGGGAAGATATTCGGTAAGGCAGGATTGTGTATTTAGTTTATTCCATTTCATTTGAACTGATACGTCCAGCCATCAGTTAGTTCTTAAAGTCTGCACTTGTTTTGAGTTCAAACTAACTGTTGTTTAGGAAAGCATTAAAGCATTTCGAAATATAACTCGACATTCTGGTTTGATTTCTTTAGAGCAGTGAAACGTAGACAAAAGGGTACGAATCAGTGACTGTTAGGAGATTACGAAGCATGGATGATTGATTGCTCAAGGGATGATCAATTGGTTGATGCTGTGCATGAAAAGATTGTACATTTACTCCACACAGGGTATGGAATCGGTCATAAAGGGTATAAAATTCAACTCCCCCCCCCCCCCCCGGTTGTAAATTTGAACCCATTTTTCATGAAAATGGAACCAAAATTTGTTAATTAAGCAGGGAGTAAACTCATAAACTTGGGGTGCAAATTAACACCTTGTTATTACATTTATTTTGTACTCCCTACATTGGGGAGTATATTTACTCCCTGAGGGGTGTCACTTATGCGACAAGCAATTACTCCCTATAGGGAGTCAATTTACACCTCTTTTTCTCTGTGTGTACGGAGGAACCGGTGATTTGCCTACATTAATGTGCATGTGTACAACTTGGTGCACTGGTACAACCTGTGGAACAGGTAAGATTTCTTCAAACCTCTTACCACTCAACTCAGATTTTGCATCTCCATTTGATCACCACATAAAAGACACGGTGTAAATTTAGGGCATTGGCCTTGATTATTTCATTCCTATAACGAACCGACGAACGTGCTGTCGTTAAGGTATTTTGCCTCTTTGGCCTGACGTTATTTCAATATCTCAAAAAACGGAAATGCTACTCGATTAGAAAATTAGAAGAGAAAATTAAACTTGGTATATAGACATTATATCCATCATTATTCATCATCACCATCTGCATCATCATCATCATAGTCGTTATAAATACTGTTATCTTTAAAATGATCAACATCATCGCGTTATTTTACTTTATCGTCGTCCTCATTGTCTTTAAAAGAACTTGATTACAAAACATCACATAAGTCTTCATAATTATAAATGGCTCATTATAGGTGCCTGCGCCGTGGACTCGGATTGCGAGTACGGAGGAACTTGTGATTTGACTACATTGATGTGCATGTGTGCAACTGGGTACACTGGTACAACCTGTGGAACAGGTGAGCTTTCTTTAAACCTCTTACCTCTCAACTCAGGTTTTGCATCTCCCTTCGATCACCAAATAAAAGACACGGTGTAAATTTAGGGCATTGGCCTTGATTATTTCATTCCTATAACGAACCGACGAACGTGCTGTCGTTAAGGTATTTTGCCTCTTTGGCCTGACGTTATTTCAATATCTCAAAAAACGGAAATGCTACTCGATTAGAAAATTAGAAGAGAAAATTAAACTTGGTATATAGACATTATATCCATCATTATTCATCATCACCATCTGCATCATCATCATCATAGTCGTTATAAATACTGTTATCTTTAAAATGATCAACATCATCGCGTTATTTTACTTTATCGTCGTCCTCATTGTCTTTAAAAGAACTTGATTACAAAACATCACATAAGTCTTCATAATTATAAATGGCTCATTATAGGTGCCTGCGCCGTGGACTCGGATTGCGAGTACGGAGTAACTTGTGATTTGACTACATTGATGTGCATGTGTGCAGCTGGGTACACTGGTACAACCTGTGGAACAGGTAAACTTTCTTCAAACCTCTTACCTCTCAACTCAGGTTTTGCATCTCCCTTCGATCACCAAATAAAAGACACGGTGTAAATTAAGGGGATTGGCCTTGATTAATGCATTCCTATAACGAACCGACGAACGTGCTGTCGTTAAGGTATTTTGCCTCTTTGGCCTGACGTTATTTCAATATCTCAAAAAACGGGAATGCTACTCGATTAGAAAATTAGAAGAGAAAATTAAACTTGGTATACAGACATTATATCCATCATTATTCATCATCAACATCTGGATCATCATCTTCATAGTCATTGTAAATACTGTTATCTCTAAAATGATCAACATCATCGTGTTATTTTACTTCATCGTCGTCCTCATTGTCTTTAATAGAACTTGAATACAAAACATCACATAAGTCTTCATAATTATAAATGGCTCATTATAGGTGCCTGCGCCGTGGACTCGGATTGCGAGTACGGAGGAACTTGTGATTTGACTACATTAATGTGCATGTGTGCAGCTGGGTACACTGGTACAACCTGTGGAACAGGTAAACTTTCTTCAAACCTCTTACCTCTCAACTCAGGTTTTGCATCTCCCTTCGATCACCAAATAAAAGACACGGTGTAAATTAAGGGGATTGGCCTTGATTATTTCATTCCTATAACGAACCGACGAACGTGCTGTCGTTAAGGTATTTTGCCTCTTTGGCCTGACGTTATTTCAATATCTCAAAAAACGGGAATGCTACTCGATTAGAAAATTAGAAGAGAAAATTAAACTTGGTATACAGACATTATATCCATCATTATTCATCATCAACATCTGGATCATCATCTTCATAGTCATTGTAAATACTGTTATCTCTAAAATGATCAACATCATCGTGTTATTTTACTTCATCGTCGTCCTCATTGTCTTTAATAGAACTTGAATACAAACCATCACATAAGTCTTCATAATGATAAATGGTTAATTATAGGTGCCTGCGCCGTGGACTCGGATTGCGAGTACGGAGGAACTTGTGATTTGACTACATTGATGTGCATGTGTGCAACTGGGTACACTGGTACAACCTGTGGAACAGGTAAGCTTTCTTCAAACCTCTTACCTCTCAACTCAGGTTTTGCATCTCCATTCCATCACCAAATAAAAGACACGGTGTAAATTTAGGGCATTGGCCTTGATTATTTTATTTATATATAGAAACGAAGAAGAAATTCTTTTTTTAGTACATTTTCTCTTTCACACTTACAAAAGTTTGAATAAAAATTAATTGTCAAACAAAAATGCAAAGGTTGATTATTATAAGTCTTCCTCGGGTCTGTTTGGACATCTTATCATTAGTATTTATATTAACTTTTTTTTTTTATGTGTGTGTTTTTAAAACTTTTATGAGGGGTATACTTTTATCGCTCTCTTAGACTTCAAACATTTTAGTGTTTGTTTGGGCAACCTATTGTTGGCCTTCGTATTTTGTTTGTCGTTTCCCTCTTTTCTTTTTTGGTACACTTTTTGCAGCACTTCCTTTTTTCTTTTTTCTCATGAGGGGTAATAAACTACTCTGTCAGAACTGTTCTAAATTACAATCACTCAAAGACGATGCATTTTGTATTACTTGCAACTCTGAAATTTTTCCTTTCAATCATCACCTAGACAACGATGTGTTTTTGTTATCTATTTTTACTTTCTTTCACTTAGACAAATGTATCGATGAGGACAAATACCACTCTCTGTCCGTAAATCCTCTTAGTCTAAATGAACTTAATAATGAGCTGAGTTCTACAAAAATATTACAACCTAACAATGTAACCAATAATTCCTGCAAGTATATGTTTTCTGATGATTTTGTACAAAAATATAAATCTACTCCAGATAATTTTTCTATATTACATGTTAATTCAAGGAGTCTTGTCCGTAATTACGACGATCTACAACTTCTTCTTAGTTCATTAGATTACAAATTCACAGTTATTGGAATTTCTGAAACATGGTTCCGAAACAACATTTCAGTTAATATGTTTAATATTGACGGATATTCACTTGTTCATATTGATAGACTTAACAAACATGGGGGAGGAGTAGCTTTATATATAAGAGATGATATTGATTATAACCTGTGTCCTAATTTATCAGTTAGTCGTAATCATTGTGATACTGTCTTTATTGAAATGCATCAAGAGAAAAAGAAACCTATAATAGTTGGCTGTGTTTACAGAGTACCTAATACTGATGTTAATGATTTCAACGAAACACTCACGAGTCTGTTGGTCGAAATAAATCCCTTAAATAAAGATGCTTATATATTAGGCGATTTCAATATAAATTTACTTAATCAAGATACTGATCACAGAACTAATGAATTTCTAGATATAATGTTTACATATGGGCTATTCCCTACTATAAGTAAACCAACTCGTGTAACTAGACATTCTGCTACCGTGATTGATAACATATTTACCAACTGTATTCACATGCATTTAAACTGTGGTATCATTTATTCAGATCTTTCGGATCATTTTCCAATATTTTGTATAAGTGACAATATATCTGTCCCTATTCATTCATTCTGTGGCAAATCAAGAGTAATCACCAAAGAAAAGATTTTGTTATTTAAGAATAAGCTACGATTGATTGACTGGTCTGTAATTTATGGTAGAACAGATGTCACTGTGTCATATGATCTATTTATTCATAAGCTTAGCTCCCTTTATTTTGAATGCTTTCCCCTTACAAAGGTAAAACTTAAAAAACACGATAAACCTTGGATCACCCGTGGTATTTTAAAATCTATTCAGAGAAAGCAAAAGTTATATTGTCGTTATATGAAGAAAGGTGACACCCGTACGCGAAAAAAATACGTTGAATATAAGAACATGTTCACAAGTATCATTCGCCGAAGCAAAAAGATTTATTATGAAAACCTATTTAAAAAATTGAGAGGTGATATGAAAAAAACCTGGTCTCGAATAAACAACTTATTAGGTAAAAAATACAAAACATTACCTTCTCACATGTATTACAATCAGGATAAGATACTTAGTAAAGCATCTATTGTTGAAGCATTTAATAGGTATTTTGTTAATATTGGAAAGATTACACAAGAAAAGATACCAACTTCTTCCTCTCACTTTCTGGATTATTTATCAAACCGTGTACCAAGTTCACTGTTCTTCAATCCGACTTCCAATACTGAAATAATCAATGTTCTCTCATCCATGAAAACATCTGCTGCACCAGGTTCGGACTCTATTGCTGCACGTGTCATTAAGGAATGCATTCATACAATTGTTGATCCTCTTTGTTATATATTCAATGAATCAATGTCACAAGGTATTGTCCCTTATAATCTCAAGACCGCTAAGGTAATTCCAATATACAAAAAAGGTGACAAACATGACATTGTTAATTACAGACCAATTGCTCTATTACCTTTTTTTTCAAAAATGTTAGAAAGGATAATCTACAACAGGCTGTATAAATTTTTTGCACTAAACAATATTTTGATACCCCAACAATTTGGATTTCGAAAGAATTTTTCTACTGATCTTGGCGTACTGAACTTGGTTAATACTATATCACATGAAATAGATGTTGGTAATTATTGCCTTAGTGTATTTATGGACCTGTCAAAAGCATTTGACACCATTGATCACCACATCTTGTTAAAAAAATTAGAATTTTATGGAATTAGAGGGGTTCCACTTCAGTGGTTCGTCAGTTACTTGTTACATAGAAATCAATATGTGGTGATCGATGGTGTCAAATCTCAACATATGGATGTATCCTGTGGAATTCCTCAGGGATCTGTGTTAGGGCCCCTCCTTTTTCTCGTCTACATTAATGATATAGTTAAATGTTCTTCAATTCTAAACTTCTCTTTGTTTGCTGATGATACCACTGTTTCATTATCACATAAAAAAATTGACAATCTTATATCATCAGCAAACAATGAACTAGACAAATTAAATAAATGGTATGCTTGCAATAAATTGTTTTTAAATTTTGACAAAACTAGGTATATTATTTTTCGTGCGAGAGGAAGGAGGGTTCCGTCAAATCTGTCAAACCTCATTATTGGTGGAAATGTCATAGAAAAGGTCGATAATATGCAGTTTTTAGGTGTAATTTTGAATGAATATCTTTCTTGGAAACCACATCTTAGCTCAATTTGTACAAAAATATCAAGATCTATTGGTGTTCTTTCTAAATTAAGACTTTTTGTGCCCCAGTCTATTCTGACGACTCTTTACAATAGCATTATACTTCCTCATTTTAATTACTGTAATACTGTCTGGGGTCACACCTTTAAAACCCATTTAGATAAATTATGCATTTTACAAAAGAAAGCAATACGAATTATCTTTAATGCTCCCTTCAATAGTCATACAAAACCTTTATTTTCACAATCAAATATATTACCGTTAAAGGACCTGATAACCTTGAATTCCCTTGTGTTTATGTATAAATTTCATTCGAAAATCTTGCCTCCTCTCCTTAGCGATATCTTTGTTTTGAATTCCTCAATTCATTCTTACCAAACTCGCCAAATTAATTTAATACACTTACCTCAGGTTCGTTCTTCCGTCGCCTCAAATTCATTTATAATTCATTTTCCTAAGTTATGGAACAAACTCCCCAACAATATCAAAAACAGCTCAACTCTTTCCAGATTTAAAAAGCTGAGCAGGGAAATCTTACCTTCTTTATAAAATACTCTTGATATTCTTGTTCGCTTTCATTTGTACTGCCCTCCTATACATGTAGATACAGTTTTTTGTTGCTGCTGCAGAAGTATACTTCTCTTTTTTTTTTCTTGTTTATATTAATGTTCGATGTTGATATTTTTTAGTATAATTAATGTTGATCTTTTTATGTATTATGTATTGGTGGCCCCTTTTTATAAGCTCTGCTTTCTCCGGGGTCACCAAACCATCATTGCATTATTCTAAATCTTGATGTAACTTATTTTGATTGTATATATATATATTGATGGTTGAACAATAAATGAATTGAAAAAAAATTATCGCTTTACAAACTTTATGCTGTCACCAAGGTATTTTGCCTCTTTGGCCTGACGTTATTTCAATATCTCAAAAAACGGGAATGCTACTCGATTAGAAAACTAGAAGATAAAAATAAACTTGGTTTATAGACATTATATCCATCATTATTCATCATCACCATCTGCATCATCACCATCATAGTCGTTATAAATACTGTTATCTTTAAAATGATCAACATCATCGCGTTATTTTACTTTATCGTCGTCCTCATTGTCTTTAAAAGAACTTGATTACAAAACATCACATAAGTCTTCAAAATTATAAATGGCTCATTATAGGTGCCTGCGCCGTGGACTCGGATTGCGAGTACGGAGGAACTTGTGATTTGACTACATTGATGTGCATGTGTGCAACTGGGTACACTGGTACAACCTGTGGAACAGGTAAGTTTTCTTCAAACCTCTTACCTCTCAACTCTGGTTTTGCATCTCCATTCGATCACCAAATAAAAGACAAGGTGTACGTTTAGGGCAGTGGCCAAGATTATTTCATTTCTATAACGAACTGAAGAAGAAACTCTTTTTTTAGAACATTTTCTCTTTCACACTTACAAAAGTGTGAATAAAAATTAATTGTCGAACAAAAATGCAAAGGTTGATTATTATTAGTCTTCCTCGGGTCTTATCGCTTTACAAACTTCATGCTGTCACCAAGGTATTTTGCCTCTTTGGCCTTACGTCATTTCTATATCTCGAAAGACGGGAATGCTACTCGATTAGAATATTAGAACAGAAGAGTTAACGTGGTATATAGACATTATATCCATCATTATTCATTATCACCATCTTCTTTATCATCATTATAGTCGTCATGAATACTGTTTTCTCTAAAATGATCAACATCATCGTGTTATTTTACTTTATCGTCGTCCTCATTGTCTTCAAAAGAACTTGAATATAAACCATCACATAAGTCTTCATAATTATAATAAATGGCTTATTATAGGTGCCTGCACAGTGGACCCGGATTGCGAGTACGGAGGAACTTGTGATTTGACTACATTGATGTGCATGTGTGCAACTGGGTACACTGGTACAACCTGTGGAACAGGTAAGATTTCTTCAAACCTCTTACCTCTCAACTCAGGTTTTGCATCTCCATTCCATCACCAAATAAAAGACACGGTGTAAATTTAGGGCATTGGCCTTGATTATTATATTTATATAACGAACTGAAGAAGAAACTCTTTAATGATAAATGGCTCATTATAGGTGCCTGCGCCGTGGACTCAGATTGCGAGTACGGAGGAACTTGTGATTTGACTACATTGATGTGCATGTGTGCAACTGGGTACACTGGTACAACCTGTGGAACAGGTGAGCTTTCTTTAAACCTCTTACCTCTCAACTCAGGTTTTGCATCTCCCTTCGATCACCAAATAAAAGACACGGTGTAAATTTAGGGCATTGGCCTTGATTATTTCATTCCTATAACGAACCGACGAACGTGCTGTCGTTAAAGGTATTTTGCCTCTTTGGCCTGACGTTATTTCAATATCTCAAAAAAAGGGAATGCTACACGATTAGAAAATTAGAAGAGAAAATTAAACTTGGTATATAGACATTATATCCATCATTATTCATCATCACCATCTGCATCATCATCATCATAGTCGTTATAAATACTGTTATCTTTAAAATGATCAACATCATCGCGTTATTTTACTTTATCGTCGTCCTCATTGTCTTTAAAAGAACTTGATTACAAAACATCACATAAGTCTTCATAATTATAAATGGCTCATTATAGGTGCCTGCGCCGTGGACTCGGATTGCGAGTACGGAGGAACTTGTGATTTGACTACATTAATGTGCATGTGTGCAGCTGGGTACTCTGGTACAACCTGTGGAACAGGTAAACTTTCTTCAAACCTCTTACCTCTCAACTCAGGTTTTGCATCTCCCTTCGATCACCAAATAAAAGACACGGTGTAAATTAAGGGGATTGGCCTTGATTATTTCATTCCTATAACGAACCGACGAACGTGCTGTCGTTAAGGTATTTTGCCTCTTTGGCCTGACGTTATTTCAATATCTCAAAAAACGGGAATGCTGCTCGATTAGAAAATAAGAAGAGAAAATTAAACTTGGTATATAGACTTTATATCCATCATTATTCATCATCAACATCTGGATCATCATCTTCATAGTCATTGTAAATACTGTTATCTCTAAAATGATCAACATCATCGTGTTATTTTACTTTATCGTCGTCCTCATTGTCTTTAAGAGAACTTGAATACAAACCATCACATAAGTCTTCATAATGATAAATGGTTAATTATAGGTGCCTGCGCCGTGGACTCGGATTGCGAGTACGGAGGAACTTGTGATTTGACTACATTGATGTGCATGTGTGCAACTGGGTACACTGGTACAACCTGTGGAACAGGTAAGCTTTCTTCAAACCTCTTACCTCTCAACTCAGGTTTTGCATCTCCATTCCATCACCAAATAAAAGACACGGTGTAAATTTAGGGCATTGGCCTTGATTATTTTATTTATATATAGAAACGAAGAAGAAATTCTTTTTTTAGTACATTTTCTTTTTCACACTTACAAAAGTTTGAATAAAAATTAATTGTCAAACAAAAATGCAAAGGTTCATTATTATAAGTCTTCCTCGGGTCTTATCGCTTTACAAACTTTATGCTGTCACCAAGGTTTTTTTGCCTCTTTGGCCTGACGTTATTTCAATATCTCAAAAAACGGGAATGCTACTCGATTAGAAAACTAGAAGAGAAAAATAAACTTGGTTTATAGACATTATATCCATCATTATTCATCATCACCATCTGCATCATCATCATCATAGTCGTTATAAATACTGTTATCTTTAAAATGATCAACATCATCGCGTTATTTTACTTTATCGTCGTCCTCATTGTCTTTAAAAGAACTTGATTACAAAACATCACATAAGTCTTCATAATTATAAATGGCTCATTATAGGTGCCTGCGCCGTGGACTCGGATTGCGAGTACGGAGGAACTTGTGATTTGACTACATTGATGTGCATGTGTGCAACTGGGTACACTGGTACAACCTGTGGAACAGGTAAGTTTTCTTCAAACCTCTTACCTCTCAACTCTGGTTTTGCATCTCCATTCGATCACCAAATAAAAGACAAGGTGTACGTTTAGGGCAGTGGCCAAGATTATTTCATTTCTATAACGAACTGAAGAAGAAACTCTTTTTTTAGAACATTTTCTCTTTCACACTTACAAAAGTGTGAATAAAAATTAATTGTCGAACAAAAATGCAAAGGTTGATTATTATAAGTCTTCCTCGGGTCTTATCGCTTCACAAACTTCATGCTGTCACCAAGGTATTTTGCCTCTTTGGCCTTACGTCATTTCAATATCTCGAAAGACGGGAATGCTACTCGATTAGAATATTAGAACAGAAGATTTAACATGGTATATAGACATTATATCCATCATTATTCATTATCACCATCTTCATCATCATCATTATAGTCGTCATGAATACTGTTATCTCTAAAATGATCAACATCATCGTGTTATTTTACTTTATCGTCGTCCTCATTGTCTTCAAAAGAACTTGAATATAAACCATCACATAAGTCTTCATAATTATAATAAATGGCTTATTATAGGTGCCTGCACCGTGGACTCGGATTGCGAGTACGGAGGAACTTGTGATTTGACTACATTGATGTGCATGTGTGCAACTGGGTACACTGGTACAACCTGTGGAACAGGTAAGATTTCTTCAAACCTCTTACCTCTCAACTCAGGTTTTGCATCTCCATTCCATCACCAAATAAAAGACACGGTGTAAATTTAGGGCATTGGCCTTAAATATTATATTTATATAACGAACTGAAGAAGAAACTCTTTAATGATAAATGGCTCATTATAGGTGCCTGCGCCGTGGACTCAGATTGCGAGTACAGAGGAACTTGTGATTTGACTACATTGATGTGCATGTGTGCAACTGGGTACACTGGTACAACCTGTGGAACAGGTGAGCTTTCTTTAAACCTATTACATCTCAACTCAGGTTTTGCATCTCCCTTCGATCACCAAATAAAAGACGCGGTGTAAATTTAGGGCATTGGCCTTGATTATTTCATTCCTATAACGAACCGACGAACGTGCTGTCGTTAAAGGTATTTTGCCTCTTTGGCCTGACGTTATTTCAATATCTCAAAAAAAGGGAATGCTACACGATTAGAAAATTTGAAGAGAAAATTAAACTTGGTATATAGACATTATATCCATCATTATTCGTCATCACCATCTGCATCATCATCATCATAGTCGTTATAAATACTGTTATCTTTAAAATGATCAACATCATCGCGTTATTTTACTTTATCGTCGTCCTCATTGTCTTTAAAAGAACTTGATTACAAAACATCACATAAGTCTTCATAATTATAAATGGCTCATTATAGGTGCCTGCGCCGTGGACTCGGATTGCGAGTACGGAGGAACTTGTGATTTGACTACATTGATGTGCATGTGTGCAGCTGGGTACACTGGTACAACCTGTGGAACAGGTAAGCTTTCTTCAAACCTCTTACCTCTCAACTCAGGTTTTGCATCTCCCTTCGATCACCAAATAAAAGACACGGTGTAAATTTAGGGGATTGGCCTTGATTATTTCATTCCTATAACGAACCGACGAACGTGCTGTCGTTAAGGTATTTTGCCTCTTTGGCCTGACGTTATTTCAATATCTCAAAAAACGGAAATGCTACTCGATTAGAAAACTAGAAGAGAAAAATAAACTTGGTTTATAGACATTATATCCATCATTATTCATCATCACCATCTGCATCATCATCATCATAGTCGTTATAAATACTGTTATCTTTAAAATGATCAACATCATCGCGTTATTTTACTTTATCGTCGTCCTCATTGTCTTTAAAAGAACTTGATTACAAAACATCACATAAGTCTTCATAATTATAAATGGCTCATTATAGGTGCCTGCGCCGTGGACTCGGATTGCGAGTACGGAGTAACTTGTGATTTGACTACATTGATGTGCATGTGTGCAGCTGGGTACACTGGTACAACCTGTGGAACAGGTAAGCTTTCTTCAAACCTCTTACCTCTCAACTCAGGTTTTGCATCTCCCTTCGATCACCAAATAAAAGACACGGTGTAAATTAAGGGGATTGGCCTTGATTATTTCATTCCTATAACGAACCGACGAACATGCTGTCGTTAAGGTATTTCGCCTTTTTGGCCTGACGTTATTTCAATATCTCAAAAAACGGGAATGCTACTCGATTAGAAAATTAGAAGAGAAAATTAAACTTGGTATATTGACATTATATCCATCATTATTCATCATCAACATCTGGATCATTATCCTCATAGTCATTATAAATACTGTTATCTCTAAAATGATCAACATCATCGTGTTATTTTACTTCATCGTCGTCCTCATTGTCCTTAAGAGAACTTGAATACAAACCATCACATAAGTCTTCATAATGATAAATGGTTAATTATAGGTGCCTGCGCCGTGGACTCGGATTGCGAGTACGGAGGAACTTGTGATTTGACTACATTGATGTGCATGTGTGCAACTGGGTACACTGGTACAACCTGTGGAACAGGTAAGCTTTCTTCAAACCTCTTACCTCTCAACTCAGGTTTTGCATCTCCATTCCATCACCAAATAAAAGACACGGTGTAAATTTAGGACTGTGGCCTTGATTATTTCATTCCTATAACGAACTGAAAAAGAAACTCTATTTTTTATAAAACATTTTCTCGTTCACTCTTACAAAAGTGTGAATAAAGCTTAATTGTCGAACAAAAGTGCCATGGACCAGTGATGGCCTGGTGGTAGAGTCGCTGCCCGGCAAGCAGTAGATGCAGGTTCAAGTCCCGCTGGTTCAATGATTTGTTTAAACTTGTTTTTCAATACAGATCGATCAATCGATCTTATTTACTGGGTGTAAGCCACAAATATTTTTAAATAATTGAAATTTCTCCCAGAAAGCATTACATTTATAAAGGTTATTGTCCTATGGCGGACTAATAAATATTAATGAGTCAGAGAGAATCAGGAGAGCTTAGGTATTTGTTCTAGTTCATTGTGACTGTGCCATGGACCGGTGATGGCCTGGTGGTAGAGTCGCTGCCCGGCAGGCAGGAGATGCAGGTTCAAGTCCCGCTGGTTCAAAAAAAAAATTAAAACTTGTTTTTCAATACAGATCGATCAATCGATCTTATTTACTGGGTGTAAGCCACAAATATGTTTAAATAATTGAAATTTCTCCCAGAAGCATTACATTTATAAAGGTTATTGTCCTATGGCGGACTAATGAATATTAATGAGTAAGAAGGAACCAGGAGAGCTTAGGTATTCGTTCGTGACTTCATCGTGACTGTTCCATGGACCAGTAATGGCCTCGTGGTAGAGTCGATGCCTCTCTAAAATGATCAACATCCAGTGGCGGATCCAGGGGGGGGGCCGGGGTGATTTGACTACTTTGATGTGCATATGTGCAACTGGGTACACTGGTACAACCTGTGGAACAGGTAAGATTTATTCAAACCTCTTACCTCTCAACTCATGTTCTGCATCTCCATTCGATCACCAAATAAAAGACACGGTGTAAATTTAGGACAGTGGCCTTGATTTTTGCATTCCTATAACGAACTGAAGAAGAAACCCTTTTTTTAGAACATTTTCTCTTTCACACTTACAAAAGTATGAATAAAGCTTAATTGTCGAACAAAAATGCAAAGGTTAATCATTATAAATCTTCCTCGGGTCCTATCGCTATACAAACTTCATGCTGTCACCAAGGTATTTTGCCTCTTTGGCCTCACGTTATTTGAATATCTCGAAAGAAAGGTCGATACTCGATTAGAAAATTAGAACAGAAGACTTAACTTGGTATATAGACATTATATCCATCATTATTCAATATCACCATCTTCATCATCATCATCAGAGTCGTTATAAATACTGTTATCTCTAAAATGCTCAACATCATCGTGTTCTTTTACTTTATCGTCGTCCTCATTGTCTTCAAAAGAACTTGAATACAAAACATCACATAAGTCTTCATAATTATAAATGACTCATTATAGGTGCCTGCGCCGTGGACTCGGATTGCGAGTACGGAGGAACTTGTGATTTGACTACATTGATGTGCATGTGTGCAACTGGGTACACCGGTACAACCTGTGGAACAGGTAAGATTTCTTCAAACCTTTTACCTCTCAACTCAGGTTTTGCATCTCCTTTCGATCACCAAATAAAAGACACGGTGTAAATTTAGGGCAGTGGCCTTGATTATTTTATTTATATAACGAACTCAAGAAGAAACTCTTTTTTTAGAACATATTTCTCTTTCACACTTACAAAAGTGTGAATAAAAATTAATTGTCGATCAAAAAGACAAAGGTTGATTATTATAAGTCTTCCTCGGGGCCTATCGCTATACATACTTAATGCTGTCACCAAGGTATTTTGCCTCTTTGACCTGACGTTATTTCAATATCTCGAAAGACGGGAATGCTACTCGATCAGAAAATTAGAACAGAAGATTTAACTTGGTATATAGACTCTAGACATTATTATATCCATCATTATTCATTATCACCATCTTCATCATCATCATCAAAGTCGTTATACATGCTGTTATCTCTAAAATGATCAACATCATCACGTTATTTTACTTTATCGTCGTCCTCATTGTCTTTAAAAGAACTTGAATATAAACCATCACATCAGTCTTAACCATAATAAATGGCTCATTATAGGTGCCTGCGCCGTGGACTCGGATTGCGAGTACGGAGGAACTTGTGATTCGACTACATTGATGTGCATGTGTGCAACTGGGTACACTGGTACAACCTGTGGAACAGGTAAGATTTCTTCAAACCTCTTACCTCTCAACTCAGGTTTTGCATCTCCTTTCGATCACCAAATAAAAGACAAGGTGTAAATTTAGGGCAGTGGCCAAGATTATTTCATTCCTATAACGAACCGACGAACGTGCTGTCGTTAAGGTATTTTGTCTCTTTGGCCTGACGTCTTTTTAATATCTCGAAAGACGGGAATGCTACTCGATTAGAAAATTAGAACAAAAAAGTTAACTTGGTATATAGACATTATATCCATCATTATTCAATATCACCATCTTCATCATCATCATCAGAGTCGTTATGAATGATGTTATCTCTAAAATTATCAACAACATCGTGTTCTTTTACCAATATCGTCGTCCTCATTGTCTTTAAAAGAGCTTGAATACAATCCATCACATAAGTCTTAACGATAATAAATGGCTCATTATAGGTGCCTGCGCCGTGGACGCCGGGAACATAGTGTAAACATAGCATAAGAAAGTCTATAGCTCTTAAACTATTCTGCATCACAACACAATCACGTCTGGTGGATTAATCCTGTGCTGAAATATACATTTCTTTCTCCTTCCCTTTCCATGACATTAAATTATCTCTCCCAGTTCTATGACACTCGGACCACATTTTTTTCTCTTTCATGGGTGATGAAATGATTAGTAGCCAACTAGTGATGTAGAGATAGTTTCTATATCTCTAAATACTTTAACTCTAAATTTGGGAAGAAATTGAGAAATAGAGAAAGGTGTAGCCATGGTACGGAAACTGTTTTATTGTAATTTTTTCTCATTTTTATTCCATTCATAGGTATTTCAGATACAACAACTAAGGCAACAATCGTGAGTTATCAATCTCCATATCATTATATCATTCTAATTCGTATAGTGTGACGATGTTATGCAGTGCAAAATGCAAATATGAAATAATAATGACTACCATGAAAAATTACATTTTTTGACGTATCAAATAAACCAAGAAAGTAAAAACAATAACAAATTATCAAAATCATTACACACCATCCTCCAACCGTGAATAATTCGTAAAAATCAAACTTTTAATGATTTTCATGAATACTATAATAATCTAAATGACTTTATTGGACTATAGAAACTTGATTTAGTAAATGAAATATCTGTAATACTCGTTTCTCTTGAATTTCAGGGACCTACTAGTCAAGCTCCAACGTCAGGTAAAAGATTATATTCTTCTTTATAATACATGCACACAGAAGCTTGCGGACTCACACAAACACCAACCTGCATTTTTGTATAATTAGAGTAAAATCATGGAGTAAAGTGCATTTTATATCAGATTGAGACCTCCCATCGAAATCTTTAACATGGAAGCCAGTAAGTTGCCAAGTAGGCTTTAATGACCTAGGACCTAGTTGCAAACTAGAACGTAGTAAGGTTATAAAAACTTCTTGCATTAGCTGACGGAGAGCATTTCAGTTGCCAACTTGGCTGATAGGGGATTTATGAATATGGGCCTGGTCAAATCCCTAGAATAGAGAAATGTGTAATCATGGAACGAATACTGAAATATTATAATTTGTTCTCATTATATCTCATTTTATATAATGTTATCCCATTCACAGGTATTTCAGATAGGACAACGGAGGCAACAATAGTGAGTCATCAATCTTCTTATCTTTGTACAGTGTATCATTCTCATCCGAATAGAGTGATGAAATAATGCAAATATATTATTCACGTTTTAATTGTCAAATAAAAACTATATGTTTTGACATATCAAATTAAACATCAAGCTAAAGTAAAACAATACAGAACGATTACCGATATAATCAGTACATGATCTCCTCCATTGAGAACAATTTGTAAACATAAAAATAGGTAATTTTAATAATATCCACGTATGCCATGATGATCGCAATGATTTTCTTGGACTGTATAAATAAGATGAAGTAAATGAAATATATGATATTCGTTTCTCTTAAATTTCAGGAACCTTCGAGTCAAGCTCCATTGTCAGGTAAATGATAACATCCTTCTGAAGAATACATGCACACAGACGCGTGCTGGAAAACTCAAGCAATCCCCCACAAATGTTCCTACATAAATGTAATTAAAGTCAAATGAGGGATGTCAAAGTGCATATGATATCAGAATGAAGCCTCTCATCGAATTCTTCAACATGGGGGCCTTTTAGTTACCAAGTAGGCTTCATGACCTAGGACCTAAACGTAAAAACCTAGTGAGGTTTGACAAATACTTCTTTATCTAGCTAACAGGGAGTATTTTAGTTGCCAACTAGGCTTAGGAAGGCTACATAAAATACAAATACCAGTACTTCTTAAGTTCGTCTTGCTTAGTCGCACTGTATCCATGTACGAAGTTTTTATGTCAAGAATGAAACAAACAATCCTCTTTCTCTACAGTTCTTTCGACGCTTGCGATCATCGGAATATATGGGGGATCGGTACTTCTGATCGTTCTGATCGTTTTGATCGTGCTTGTCGTCGTTCTGATCTGCGGACTGAAGAAACGTCCACCACCGAGGTATGCTGCATTTATTTTGTTGGCGCCAAAGACACCTACAAAACATATTCGCACGTTTCAATTGTTGATAGACAGAGCTATTGACAATGCCTTAGGTTGACTTTCAAGAAGTCTTTGCCATCATGGGATTTCAGCTATACCTACATTTATGTGTCCTTGTACAGGGCCTTTTAAAGAGGGTGCTCCGATATGTGGAGGTGTCATGGTATAATGGTTCATTAACTTGTCATCTCTCTCAATCCAAGGGTTGAGGGGCCGAATCATAGCCAGGCACTAACGTCCTATATAGCAAGAAATTAATCCACATTGCTACCCTCCATCCAGTAAATAGATTGGTGTCCGTAACGATGGACATTCATTGTAGTTTCCTGAGACCTGTAAAGGGCATAAAGACATCGTAAGTGTTTTAAGCTCTTTGTCAAACCAGAATATTATTTTCCTTAAAGTAGAGGGTAGGGGTTAGGGGTGTAATTGGCTTTTAGGTTTGGTTTCGGATTAGCGTTAAGTTTAGTTTGTTGGGTACCGTGTTAAGGATAGAAACTCGTAGGAAATTACCGCAAGGGATACACATGGTCACCCAGAAAAATTGTCTTGTAATTATCGCGAGCTTCACCCAACTCCATCACATAATTATTTACTATTATCCCGTTTTTTTTGTTTACTTCATTTTCATTATTATGATAACCTTTCCTTTCATCCTCAAACTCCTAATATCGCTCTTACTTTTGTTTTCTTGTATTAGGAAGGTAAACCCTTCAACAGACCAGGCTGAAGTTCATGACAACCCTACCTACGTCGAGTAAGTTCTTTTAGACATACAGCTGAGAACTGGTGTCAAGCAGTGGCATTGTGAAAGGTTGAATATAGTTATTAGATGATAGTTATAGTAATGAAAATATTAATTATAATAATAACAATAATAAAAATAATAAAACAAATAATGATAATACATGTACTAATATATAATGATAATGATAACGTTAATAAGGATGCGCTTATCACTACATCTAACACGGAAATGGGTATACGGGACTACACGCACATTCGTCATAACCGTTTGGGTCGAACACCTTAGCTATTACTAGTCATCTGCTATTATTATTATCAAAAAAAAATAAAAATAAAAAAAATAAAAAAAATAAAAAAAAACGGAGTGTTGGCTCAGTCAGTAGAGCGTCCGCCGCACAACCGGGAGGTCGTGGGTTCGAACCCCGGCCGCGTCATACCAAAAGACGTTAAAAGATGGGAGTTGTTGCTACCTTGTTAGGCGTTCAACAGTAAGGGATAGAGCAACGTCGATCTGGCGCTGCTCAGTGGCTGCCGGGCTCACGATCAATTGGGCAAAAAAAAAATCCGTTTCGGTTCAATAAAATTTGGAGTGGACTATTAGGCTATTATTATTATATTATTATTATTATTATTATTATACGGGGGCACATTTCTTCTACGTGGGTATTGTTCTAGGTTGAAATAAAGAGGATTAGGAAGCTCACACATTAATCTTCGTCTTTACCGGAACTCCTAAATCTCATTAAACTTGATATAAAAGCTGAAAAGAATCGACTATTCCTTAAAGGTACTTTGTCCCCATTTGCAGGCCCCAGAAAATGAAAAGATTAAATTCCAACGGCATTTGAATGGTAATACTAATTTAGAACTTCCCTATAAAAAGGGGGCTTGAACATATCTTTAAGTGGGAAAATAACGACTATTAGTTGTCGAATCTACTTAAGAGCTATAGATCCATTAAGTAATATTCTGATTTTCAGACCATTGTACCGCATGGTCGTATGTTTTATGCTGCGCAAAGATTCAGTCAGTTTAATTTTGGCCATTACAAGAAGTGGGTTATTGATGTAGACAAATGCTCATGTACCCTTTACAGATCATGTTATGTATGTTATTACCAAGGAAGAAAAAAGCCTGTCAGTCACTCAATAGTGTCTGACAGTGAAGTCTAGCGAGTAAACAGGTTTCCTTGCATAATTTGAATATTAGGACACTGCTAACGTTTAAATTTTACAGATAGGGCATACATGAGGAATTCATAATTCCTGCTAAGTTCTACAGAATTTGACGTTGGCTGCAAAAAGGACATAGTATATTTAACATAAAATCTTTACTAATAAAAGTTTTTTTCTTCTCCATTCTGCACTTGGCCGCTCTGTAATTTAATTTAATTTAAGATAAGCAATGTCATGAAAGCTATAAATTGTTTCTTCTGAAATGAAACTGTGTACCATGTTGCATTTTGAAAGTGTATGCAGGTGTTATATCTTTATGATACGCCCTACTCAATTATAACTGGTCATTTTTCTTCGTCTCTCTTTCTCTTTCTCTACAGTGCTTAGTCTCGGCAATAAACTTCAAAATGGCGAGTGGAACGAAGAGTGAGGACATAGCTACTGGGTTATTTTAATCTCGTGCATGGGCAGATAAACTTGTCGATACTTTTGGGGAGCTCTTTTACTTTTCATAATTTGTATTTCTTTTTCCTTTTTTTGATTCTAGAAATCGTTTCGTTGCTATTAGACAATTTTTTTTAAATGTTCTTAAGTTTGAATGAAATACCTACATCTCGTGATACGGTGGTATCGATATCTTGTTATTTATTGTTTCCAAGTTAGGTTTCCGTCAATGATAACTCGGAGAAATGTTGAACTTGTTTCTTTAGATTAAGCTATTCCATCAATTTTGTTCCTGCATGTGAAATTGTTCCTAATGTTAATTTAATTTACCGGTGCATCAAGCTCGGAATAAACAAAATAGAGTAGTATGATAAGCGTATATATGTCAGATAGTGGAGAAGTTTGAAGTATTATTGATGTATTAATGAGAAATAGAAGTGGGCCTAGGATGGATCTTTAGGGGTGTGGCACATGTTATGTGTTGATAGTATTAGGATTTAGAGTTGTGTCATTCGAATTGTTTTCTATTAGATAAGTAGTCTTGGTACCAGGGGAGTGTGTTGTCTTTGATACCATAATGTTTGTAACGTGTGTATTAAAATTCTTTAATCTTAAGTATTAAAGGTCTAACTTAGGTCCATAAGTAGACATGTTCACCATTGCATAAAGTATTCTTAATATTATCATATAATTGGGGCAGGGCAAGATCGGTGGAGTAATTGTTTTCTAAAGCCCAATTGATTTCCATTTATTAGGTCGCATTTAGTTAGAAATGCAAATATTACATTGTTTATTATTTATTTCAAAATATTTTGGAATGCTCGGTTACAATGATATTAGACGGTAAATACTTAATTTTAAAGGTAAGGTCATCTTTCTTTGCAAATAGGAATAACCTTCGCAATTTTAAGCGAATTAGGAAACATTCCAGAGGATAGAGATAGAGCAAAAATATATCCAAGAGAAGGACTATCAGGCCAATAATTTTCTTAAAGCCCTACTGCACTACTTATAGCTACTTGCGGCCTCTATAAAGCAAACAATGCCTAAGTGGTGACCGACCCCCCCCCCCCCTCATGGTCCCCTTTTATTATGTTGATTAAGGGCTGATTTGATGAGATAACCACTTGTCAGTGACCATGCAGGAAGGTCTAATACCTCCTGGCCAAACTAGTGCAGATAGGCATTAAAGGCTAAAGCCAATCCAAACATAATTTGCTTTTAATAGATGCAGAAAAACAAGAGAAACAGAGCAAAAGAATTTGAATAAAAACGGATAACTAATATGGAATATATGATTTTTATTAAAAGTATGAACAACTATAGAACATAGAAAATCACTACACAAATTGCAAACTTGGTTCTCAGTTTATAACGTCTTTGCCTCACTATTTATCAATTGCTTTATATATGTTTATCCCATTAAGTTCCCTTTTTATCCCCCACAACTTGATTTCCTCATGTCTTTGCCCAGTTTATATGATTTGTTTCATATTACGTGCATGACATTTCACACAATCTTTTAGGAACTTTTAAGAATTGATACTATTTGAAACTATTGAAACTATTTTATCATTGATTTTTGGTTAAAAAGTTCATAAAAATTCACATTTTTAATGATTTTACTAAAAAATTACTTTATATTAGTGTACTGATATGTTATCGATATAAAGAAAACAATAAGTGAATAGTAATGCAATGAAGTCACAGACTCATGAGTGTGTTGTAAATTTATCTCCTGATTTTTAAAGTTTTTCATGTTATTAAAAATTCAAAACTTCCTTATTTGTTATCCGATTTTGCTCAAACTTGTTATGCTTGGTTCGTCTGATTTGTATACTTCTTTTGAAAGTAAATTATTTTTGGAGTGGACTTGCCCTTTAAGGGGATTTGTACAAATTTCGTCGTAACCGGATGGAGTTGCTAGGCTTTATTGATTAAGCTCTATCGAATGGTTCAATAAAAAAAATACTCTTTGCAAGTGGGTTAAAAAGAAATCGTTAGGTCGTGAGTTATCGCTATCAATTTTGGCAGATAGCTTAGGCCAATGTTAATAAAGTATGAATTAACAAATTTGCTGCCTCAGTAGGGTCCAATAGTTCACGGCCATTTTCAAATAATGTTGGAGTGCTCGAGTGATTAGTTTTCTTCCCTATAATTCCATTCATTATATTCCATGTTGATTATATATTCCATATTCATTAGTGGATGTAATACATGAGAAACTGATGCATTAATCAGGGTTGCATCAGTGTTGTTTTGTAGTGAAGGCAAAATGTCTACATTAAAACCACCCATTATGAAGTATATTTTATGTGTTGGACAGATAATACATTTTGTTGACCTTTATATTTCCAATTTCGATAAAAGTTGATTTGATTCCTTCAATGTGATTGGTCTCCCCTTACGTAGCAAAACAGTAAAATATGAATAAAAATCACCTTTGAATACTGAAAGTAAATACATAAACTATGGCGATATAAGGATTACAACAAATATTAGACGGCGAGTGGTATTTCCTGATGTATTTCCTAAATTTCGATACAACATTTTCTAGAGTATGATTTTGGCAATCCTGGTTATTACCAACGCTCGCGACGATGAGGGAACTTCCTTTTATTTTGGTGAAAAGTATCTCACTGAGGGTGATAGTATTGCAGAAGGAGATTAGCTGTGCAGAATGAAGGCACGTGTAGAAGTACATAGATGAAGATGAAATGAAGATGAAAAGTGAAAAGGCCTAACTAAAATTCAAAAAAGGTATTTCCTGGATGTTAACATTTTCAATAGTCTCCACTTACGTAGCAAAACAGTAAAATATGAGTATAAATCGCCTTTGAATACTGAAAGTAAATACATGAACTATAAAGATTACAAAAAATATGAGACTGCGAGTGGTATTTTCTGATGTAAAAGTCAGCATAATTGGAAAGAGGAAAAGGGCATTTTTCGAAGAAAATGAAGACGGAGGAGGAAAATAATTTGATTAGTCAAGTTAACATTTTATTCACCACTCACAATATCAAAGTGTCGAGTTAGTTATACAAAAATGGCGAGATCGATTACAAGCGAGTTTAAACCAATATGTTCTATTTAAAAGTTAAAGATTACTCGATGCATTACAGTGTAAAATACTGAGTGAGGTCTTTCTACTGGGATTGTTAATGAATTCCGATACAACATTTTCTAGAGTATGATTTTGGCAATCCTGGTTATTACCAACGCTCGTGACGATAAGGGAACTTCCTTTTATTTTGGTGAAAAGTATTTCACTGAGGGTGATAGTATTACAGAAGGAGATTAGCTGTTCAGAATAAAGGAACGTGTAGAAGTACATAGATGAAGATGAAATGAAGATGAAAAGTGAAAAGGCCTAACTAAAATTCAAAAAGGTATTTCCTGGATGTTAACATTTTCATAAGTCTCCACTTACGTAGCAAAACAGTGAAATATGAGTATAAATCGCCTTTGAATACTGAAAGTAAATACATAAACATAAAGATTACAAAAAATATGAGACTGCGAATGGTATTTCCTGATGTAAAAGTCAGCATAATTGGAAAGAGGAAAAGGGCATTTTTTTGAAGAAAAACAAAGACGGAGGAGGAAAATAATTTGATTAGTCAAGTTCACATCTTATTCACCACTCACAATTTCATAGTGTCGAATTAGTTATACAAATATGGCGAGACCGATTACAAGCGAGTTTTAACCAATATGTTCTATTTAAAAGTTAAAGATTACTCGATGCATTACAGTGTAAAATACTGAGTGAGGTCTTTCTACTGGGATTGTCAATGAATTACGATACAACATTCTCTAGAGTATGATTATGGCAGTCCTGGTTATTACCAACGCTCGCGACGATAAGGGGAACTTCCTTTATTTGGGTGAAAAGTATCTCCCTGAGGGTGATAGTACTGTAGAAGGAGATGTTAACATATTCATTGGGGCCCTCTTACGTAGCAAAACAGAAACATATGAATGTAAATCGCTTTTGAATACTGAAAGTAAATACATGAACTATGGCGATACAAGGATTTCAAAAAAATATGAGATGACGATTGGTATTTCCTGATGTAAAAGTCAGCATATTTATATTTAAATGTTCGTCTATATTGTGTGTGAAATGTGGAAAAATAAAGAATTGAAACTTGAAACAATATTTATATTTGCCTAAGACCCCCGGCCCACAAGATAACATTAACTATTTTAAACAGCCTACTAACTTATTGTCACATTATTATCTAAGTTCTCTTTGCTCACTTGTTCACTGCCCTATTGCTCTTATTCTAAAATTGTTATGAAGGTAATTTTAGACCCTACAATGTGTGAAATTTAGCCAAAACGATTACACCAATTTAGTTATTTTTTTAAATCAGTGACCGTTAATTAATCTATCAATTAATAATAACAATACACGGCCAGCTGGTTGTGTGTATTATAACGAACACGAAAAAGCCAACACACAGCCAACATCGGCATTGACTGAAATAAAACTTATAAGGCGCTATTTAGTTTTTTTCAACGGCTGGTTCAAATTTTCGAATGTTTGTGGGGCACCACAAAATCAAAAATCGTTATATTTATAGATATTTCAGCCGTCTCTAAACTGATTTAGATCGAGCAAAGATGATTTTGTATGTTCTTTCAAATTTGACACACAGTTTGTCATTATCTCACAAAAAAAATATTTTGGGTAGCGCCCCCTGCAACAAAACTCAGCTATCCCGTTAACGCTCTTTTCAAAGTGCCTAATAGTCAATGTAAAGAAATGAGCAATGCAAATCACACAAATGTAATGACTTTTGACCCACATTGATTCAGACATTGAACAAAAGAATTTTGACAATATTTTTTAAAAAGTCTGCTCTTCAGGCATGCTTGATAGCACAATTATAAGAATGGTATTATTAGACAGGGTATACATTCGATTTTGCAATAACATATGATTCAAGGTCACATAGGTTTATATCTTTTTAATTAGAAGCTACCAAAGTAGTGTATACTTTGTTTTTATACGCACTGTATGGTCGTTAGTATTTATATTTTAATACACATAGGTGCGTAACCAAAATTGTCTATGTCACATCATTTTTTCATTGAATTTTTAGTGCATAATGCTCAGCTTTTATGTTTGTGTTTGCGGTTGTTTATATAGAGATTGACCTCGTTCTCAAGATTATTGTTTAGCGTACTCGAAAAAGGATGGGTATGCGCGCGAGACTCTCTTGTACATTAAGCTTGTGTGTGAGCGGGCGCGCACGTTCTTATGGCGTCCGAACCTAAAATCAAGGACAGTGAGAATTATATAGTCCAGGCACTGGTCTAGAAAGAGGCCAGAACTTGTGAGAGGAAGAGCCAGGGAGTTGAGCAAGGAGAAAATCACAGAAAGACACACTAGGATCATTAGACCACAGAAAAAAGGAGAAGAAGATACAAGATTGAAGCAGAATAGTCGTTACTACTTAGGACAAGGAGAAGAAGAGGAAGAGGATTCTGATATAATTGACAGACCTGTCACTTTCTAGAATGATTTGGAAAAAGCGAGTTGCTATTTTCTTTTGCGTCGCTTTCATCTGTGGTGTACCAAAGCCATCAGAGGCAGATCAAAGTAAGATCATAAAAGATATTTATATTCAATTTACCGAATTTGAAATATTTACATTTTACTAAGGTTTCTGTTCTTGGCTTTCGAAGAATGATAATTTCTTTTCGGTTCTACAACACAAATTTTTACCCCCTCTATTAATTGCTATAACTTTAAGGGATTTGGTTTGGTAAGAAATTCTACCGAAAAAAAAATGTTGTGGTCATCATGATGAAAACAAAACTTACACAGGTGGAAAATATTGCCGTTATATTTCAGTTTTAATGTTTTTTTCGTAGTTGCTGAGCACCGTCCGCGATGTTACTTTCTATTCTATTTTTTTCGTTTCGTGGTCTTTTCCTAAAGGTACACACTAATTACAACATAATCATGATAATAAAAATTTAAAAATTCAATAAAAACATAATCAACGTATAATACTTACATTGTATTATAATACTAACATATGATTATAAATAATCATGAAGAAGGATTGCCACATAACTTTAGCTTAAATGCGTGATAATCCTTTATAAAAACTAAATAATACCTTCATACAAACTTGATGTTGGGTATTGGAGTAACATGATACAGTATATGATTAGATGACAGGAGATAATTGTAAATAGAGCGATAAAGGTGATGGCAACGCTGAAAAAGAAATAAAGAGAAGGCAGAAGTGAGGGGTGAAATGCGAGAATTACATATTCAGAGGACGGGGTAGAGAGGGGAGGGAGAGGGGAAAAGATAGACAGAGAGAGAGGGAGAGAAAATTCATGTAATGTTTAATTTCGTATCAGGACAATTACCCCCTGGGCAATCACCCCCCGGAAAATTACCACCCGGAAAACTACCCCCCACGGACAATTACCCCCCAGAAAATTACCCCCCGGAGAATTACCCCCCGAGGACAATTACCCCCCAAGGACAATTACCCCCCAGAAAATTACCCCCCGGAGAATTACCCCCCGAGGACAATTACCCCCC